ACAGATCACAAGTCCATCACTAGCTTTTGTCTCTTTATGGGTGACTCCTTTATTTCATAGAAGAGCAAAAGGCAAACTATTGTGGGTCATTCTTCTACTGAGGCTAAGTATCATGCTATGGCTTCCACCCCTGCTGAGATAGTCTAGTTGAGATGATTACTTGCTGATCTTGACATCACTTTGTTTGTTTTTACCCTTATGTATTATAACAACACGACCGCAATTCAAATGACCCATAATTCAATGTTTCATGGGCGTACAAAATACATTGATATTGATTCTCATTTCGCCCGTCATCATCTTCAAGTGGGCACTATTTTTCTTTCTTTTCTTCCTTCTACTATGTAGTTAGCAGATTTCTTTCCGAAATCTCACACCATTTTGCATTTTTGTTCTATCGTTGGCAAACTCCCGATGTTTTCTAATACCACATCATAAGTTTGTTAATGGGTGTCAAAATATTTTGGTATTAAGAATAGATTAGTCATTTTCTAGTATTGTTTTTCCCTACTATAAATGGGCTTCCATTTGCATATTTATTATGTAGTTCCAATCAAACTATTAGTCATAGTAATGTATTCTTTCTTTCTCTCCTTCCTCTCTTTACTTCAACGAAACTATCACCCTTATCCCTTTTTTTGTTTACATTGGTTGTGGATGGTTTAAATAGACTTGTGTAGAGGACGGAGAAATACAGTTTAGTTGATGGCTTTGTGATTGATAGGAATAGAGTTAGAGTTTCACACTAGCAATTTGCTGATGATAATACTTTTTTCTCTTCAGGGGATGAGCAAAAGCTCAAAAATTTGAAGGAGATTGTTGATATTTTTAGGTCGATTCGATGGAGGTGCAGCAAGCCCTCACCCGGTGCCGGAAGTTTCTAAGAAAATACCCAACTAAAGCATTTTTCCATTCTCCTGATCCACCTACTGTCACTCCTTCAAGTGGTTGCACCATAACTCTACCATTTTCATACTTAGGCTTAATGAACGAGATTATTTCAAGATTTAAAATGAAAGAGTATTGTTACGAGAATCAACACGAGTCAGGATAAGATTGAAGGTGGGTTGTCGATATGGGATGCTTTGCAGCTGGGTGGCCTTTGAAGTATTTAGGAATTAGGATTACCATTAGGTAGTAATCCGTTGTCTAGGTTCTTATGGGATCCAGTCATTGAGAAAGTTGAAAAAAGGTTGGATGGGTGAAAGAAAACCTTTATTTCCAAGGGTTTACCAATTTTGGTACCTAGGAAAATCTAAGGAATGATGAGAAATTTCTTCAAAGGGAAGGAAAGGGAGAATGTAGGAAAGATCACTTGATATCTTGGGAGGTAGTATCTAGATCTAAGGCTAAAGATAGACTTTCGGCGGGGAATTTGTTAAAAAGAAATGAAGCTTTAATTGGAAAATGACTTTGGAGGTTCCTTTGGAACAAGATTTGTTGTGGTGTTCCATTACTAGGAGCAACTATGGTTTATAGTCTAATGGATAGGAAGGGGGTAGTTTTCGAAGTCAATGAAAGTATATTTCTCAAGGGTTATCTCTCTTTTCCCAAAAGCTTAAGCTCCTAATGGGTGATAGAATATGAAACACAAATACTTTGTTGATGTTGGCGTACCTATATCGGATACGATCCTCATTGAATACTCGAGGATATATCTCATATGTATCTTATAAGAAAAAAATATTTAGATACTTTTGTATTTGAGCAACATGTATAATTTTTGAATTTAATCTTTAACATCTTTTTTTGAATTCACATACCACACAATACATCAACAAAAATCTATACTACTTTAAAGGCACACGAGTGTTTTTCAATTATTATCTACTATTACATGTCAAAAGAGCATAAAATAAATCTATTACATTATAATTTTACCAACAAATATTTCTAAACAAACCAACTAAATAAATATTAGTTTTGATTCCTCTAATTAATCACTTCACTTTGTGAATATACCTTGATGATATGATATATACTTTTTGGAAACTAAAAAAAATTATTAATTTTCTTTATTATGTTAAAAAAATACATAAGATATAAATATTAAATCTGTAGATATGAGTAAAAATATGAATTTTATTTTATTATAGACGTATCATGGTCGTATCCGTATTCTATTTTTTTAGATTTTGTTATATCACCATATCCGTATCATATTGTATCGTACCCGTATCCCATATCCATATATGTGCTTCATAGGTGATGAATCTCGGTTTTGTTTTTAGGAGCATTTATGGGTAGGGGAGTCTTCTTTTTATGATCTCTTTCCTCGCCTTTGTTGAGTCTCTAGGGCTCATGGTCAAAGGATTGATTCTATCATTTGGTCCTATTCAAATCCTATTTCATGAGATTTCGGTTTTAGTAGGAATCTTAATGATATGGAATGTGCGGTGCTGGTAGATCTACTTCCTTTGCTTAATAGTATCTCATTTACACACGATGTGGTGGGATAGATGTTAGACTATTGACTCTATTGGTGTTTTCTCATGTAAATCTTACTTTGAGTCTTTAATTGATGATCTCTCTATTCTCTTGATTCCTCCGTCGAGGGTGGTTTGGAAAGTTAAAGTGTCTTTAAAGGTGCAAATTTGTGTGTTGATAATTACTTATGGTAAGTTTAACACTTATGATATGCTTCAAAGAATAAGACTTGTGATTTGTCTTTTACCACAATGGCGTGTTATGAGCAAAGGTGATAGTGAAAGTTTGAATCATTTATTCTTACATTGTGCAGTAGTGCTATCCTGTAGAACAAGTTGTTTATTAATGTGGGTATTAGTTGGGTGGCACTAAGAACTATGTTATATATGATTTGCTTGTCTGTTATCGGAGGGGGGAGGAATAAAAGGTGGAGAACCCTTTGGACCTATGCTTTTTTTGCTACTCCTTGGGTCATCTCATTGGAAAGAAACACAAAAAAATTTTAGCATAAGAGCAAGGAGATTGAAGCTCTTTGAGAGTGAATTACTTGTTGGCTTCTTTTGAACTTCCATGACTAAGGAGTTTGAGAATGTCCTCTTTTTTGCATTACATCGACCTGGACAGCTTCTTGTGCCTAGCAGTATTTTGTTTCTTTTTATGATGTATTTCTGTTTATCTTTCTACTGTTCAACTTGCCTTTGGTTGGGACAATTTGTCCACCTTTGACATGCTTTTTGTAACTTCTCNTACTACTTTAAAGGCACACGAGTGTTTTTCAATTATTATCTACTATTACATGTCAAAAGAGCATAAAATAAATCTATTACATTATAATTTTACCAACAAATATTTCTAAACAAACCAACTAAATAAATATTAGTTTTGATTCCTCTAATTAATCACTTCACTTTGTGAATATACCTTGATGATATGATATATACTTTTTGGAAACTAAAAAAAATTATTAATTTTCTTTATTATGTTAAAAAAATACATAAGATATAAATATTAAATCTGTAGATATGAGTAAAAATATGAATTTTATTTTATTATAGACGTATCATGGTCGTATCCGTATTCTATTTTTTTAGATTTTGTTATATCACCATATCCGTATCATATTGTATCGTACCCGTATCCCATATCCATATATGTGCTTCATAGGTGATGAATCTCGGTTTTGTTTTTAGGAGCATTTATGGGTAGGGGAGTCTTCTTTTTATGATCTCTTTCCTCGCCTTTGTTGAGTCTCTAGGGCTCATGGTCAAAGGATTGATTCTATCATTTGGTCCTATTCAAATCCTATTTCATGAGATTTCGGTTTTAGTAGGAATCTTAATGATATGGAATGTGCGGTGCTGGTAGATCTACTTCCTTTGCTTAATAGTATCTCATTTACACACGATGTGGTGGGATAGATGTTAGACTATTGACTCTATTGGTGTTTTCTCATGTAAATCTTACTTTGAGTCTTTAATTGATGATCTCTCTATTCTCTTGATTCCTCCGTCGAGGGTGGTTTGGAAAGTTAAAGTGTCTTTAAAGGTGCAAATTTGTGTGTTGATAATTACTTATGGTAAGTTTAACACTTATGATATGCTTCAAAGAATAAGACTTGTGATTTGTCTTTTACCACAATGGCGTGTTATGAGCAAAGGTGATAGTGAAAGTTTGAATCATTTATTCTTACATTGTGCAGTAGTGCTATCCTGTAGAACAAGTTGTTTATTAATGTGGGTATTAGTTGGGTGGCACTAAGAACTATGTTATATATGATTTGCTTGTCTGTTATCGGAGGGGGGAGGAATAAAAGGTGGAGAACCCTTTGGACCTATGCTTTTTTTGCTACTCCTTGGGTCATCTCATTGGAAAGAAACACAAAAAAATTTTAGCATAAGAGCAAGGAGATTGAAGCTCTTTGAGAGTGAATTACTTGTTGGCTTCTTTTGAACTTCCATGACTAAGGAGTTTGAGAATGTCCTCTTTTTTGCATTACATCGACCTGGACAGCTTCTTGTGCCTAGCAGTATTTTGTTTCTTTTTATGATGTATTTCTGTTTATCTTTCTACTGTTCAACTTGCCTTTGGTTGGGACAATTTGTCCACCTTTGACATGCTTTTTGTAACTTCTCTTTCCTTTTTATGATTAATAATATTATTGTTTCCCACCAAAGAGAGAGAGAGAGAGCAAGAGGGGGGAGCGGAAGCCCTAACTATACATTCGTAGCTACTGCAGCTCATAACGAAAGCCCAGGGCCCAGGCTATCTAATATGAGCCATTTCCCAAATGCCCCTTACTCCAGCTAGAAGAAGTGCTAATCACTAACCATATGACAAGAGGTGTACTCAGTTCTTCCATTAGTGACCATGATAGCTGGGATGCAATTTAAATAAACATCATAAGTGGTCCAGTTCAATCCCAGAACCCAGAAAGAAGTCAAAAATTCTCTTCTTTTCATTCTAGGGGAGACTGGAGAGAGGGAGAGAGAGGAGACGGGGGAAGGGGGAGGGGGGGGATGCTACTTTACATAGAAAAGTGACTATATAAAATCCTTTTATTTTAGAAAAAATTGCTAACCTTGCAAACGTCTCCACTGTGCAGCCTCACGCATAGCTTGCAGCTCTGCCTGCAGAAACAAAAACCTTGTGTATTGAACTATATCGACCAGAAGCTAACCCTATATTAAGCAAACAATATGCACCTTAAACTCCTCCTGTTCCTCCTTTTGTTTGATTTTGTCATCCAGTGCTTTTCGCTACAAAAAGGACAACGTGGTTAAAAACAAACCCTGAGTTCAGATACTTGACCAAAAAGAATTTACTTAGATGTTTAAAAAAAAAATCCACGTACACATCTTATAAAGAATCTACAGTCACTATAAGGCAATATACATCTATGCTTAATGCTATCAACGCATAAAAGACAAGCAATGAATCATGGTTTTCTAAATTAAAGAAGCAGTAATGGGGACACTGAGAAACCACTATTTATCTATGAAATAACAATCACACAAGCCCTAATTCACTGGATGAATAAGAGAAAAAACACTAAATATATATTCACAGATAACAGCTGCTGTTCAACATGTAGAGTTTATGATGGCTCCACCAAAACCCTATATCTGTGACAATTAGGAATTAAAAGCCTAACTGAACAAAAATACCCAAAGTGGGAAGTCTTGAGCTAACTTAAGGAAATAAATTGTCTTCTGTGAGGACTCTAGGAGAGGTTATATGAATTGAAAAAAAAGATTATCAACACAATTACTAAAAAACTATGCAATGATCTCAGTAGTCCCTTGCCCCTGACGTAGGCAGTCATCAAGTGGATATCATTCGAAATGCATGACATATACAAACTTAAGTGAGACCTTTCTAAGATCACCTTTATAAGGAATTTCTTTAAGAATTTCATGATGAGAGAATCATCATGAAACAATGTGGAAGGAATTGAGTAACAAGGGGCCAAGGATCTCATGAGACCCAAAAGCCCCTAATTTCTGGAAGTTACAGTTTGCAGTGCCAGAACAGCAGTCAAACAACCACAAAAACTTCATTTTACTTTTGTTTTTTTGGATAGGAAACAAAACCCTCAACTCAAAAGTCTTATGGGGCATGAGGCCTTCCAATCCACCAATATCCAAACGAGAATAACACCATCAAAATCCTTAGAAACAAAAGCCCATCGCGATGCCAAAAAAATAGATGTGACCCATAAACCTTCCTTCCACCCCCCTGTAACCTAAAATATAATACTGTAGTATGGTAGAGAAAAAGTTAAGTATCAAGTTGGCACAAGGTTTGTACCAACTTGTGCAACCAAACAAAAGTTTGAGCCCCAGCCCCACAAACCAAAAGAAAAAACAAAGAGGAGAAAAATAAAACGAAATGTAAAAACTCACTCTCAAAGCACTTGAACGACTCGAAATACCACAATTAATTGAGGAATAACTGTATTAGAATATTGATGACAACCCCATAAAGTCACATAGAAGAATAAACTTTTGTATTATATTGTTACATCATACACCATAAGCTCTATAGACATTTTTATCATTACATGCAAAGACAATTAAGATACTTGGGGCAGTGCCACAGGACGTGTCACGCTTAGTGACACAATACACCAAGTGCCACCCCGGGTAGTGTATGTGGTACTCCGCCACCGAATCGTAGATCCACCCAATCCCACACTCGTACCATTCCCTTCTACTAATATAGCCTCCATGGAGAAGGTTAGTAGAACATGATTCTTACTGCTAGAAAGAAAGAAAATAATGAAGTGAACCAATCTCCTATTTATAAGGCATACAGTGTTGGAGTTAGGACTCTTGAACTTAAAGGTGGGATTGTACTAGACGATTGAACGATGGGCAAATAAATCCTTTTAAGCGCGCCTATTTACTAATCTATTTTACTGGGCTTGCTTGACTTTCTCTTAGCTTCCCCTCACTTGTCCCATATACACAGAGCTAGACGAATTGAGTTCAGGTGAGAAATGAATCAATGCGAAGCATGGTTTGGAAATTTCAGCTGAAAAGCGGTAGACATCTTAATTCAAGTCTATTCCTTTGTAGTCGGCCCTAGTGCTTAAATGTCATGTTGCCTCCACATATATGAAAAGTAAATCGGCCGTATTAGCTCATCACTCCCTTAACACACCCTCACTATATAGGTCCAAACTTGCATATGCTGCTCTTACCTAACAGTAGCCAAAAGCATGGAAACTTAAACGTTGAACCTTCCCTTCTGCATACCATTTCTTTAATTTTGTTTCGGTGTATAACTCAATTCAGAAATAGAAACATTTTGAAAATATTTGAAAATTTGTTTCTGAATCATGGCCAAAACACATCAAAACAACTCAAAATGTTCTGAAACATCTCGAAACATAGAATTTTGATATAAAACTCTAGATTCGTTTTGGTTCCAACACAATTTAGTCGTTCTGATGGAAATGAACTAAGAAACACAAACACACTGATATGAAATTTTTTAAAAAATTAGGACCTAGACATGTTGGAAAATATGCTAAATTTATGTTATTAATTATATCTAGATAGATACAAATGTGACACACTTACACCTTCACCACCCACTTGTATCCATTTTTTCTATCCTATCTCTTTACTCTAATAATCATCTTATTCCAAAGTTCAACCACCAAATAAATAAATAAATATCATGCGATAAAATAAGCATATTTTCTTATCATTCAATTCATCCCATGCTATGAAGTACGAATACTTCGTTAAGGTCAACGTATCTGTATCGAATATGATACTCATCAGATACTTGACGAGTATCTGTACCGAATACGATACTCATCGAATATTTGATGATACATATCGGATACACACTAAACATATCCAATAATAAATAAAATATATAGATAATTCGTAGATACTTACATATGCGGATAAGTATGTGAAAGTTTTAATTTTAATCTTTATCCCTTCCTGTTGATTTCACATACAATGCAATACATTAGAAAAAATTCATATGACTTGAAACACACATGGGTGTTTTTTAAATATTATCCATTATCACATATCCGAAGAGTTTAAATGAATTAAGTACTCTATAATCTTAGTAGAAAATATTTCTAAGTAAAGAATATAGTTAAATGTTAGTTCTTATTCTTTTAATTAATCACATTCACTTTGTAGATATATCATAGTAAAACGATAAATAACTTTTGAAAAATAAAAAATTGTTAATATTATTTATTATTTTTAAAGAATCACTAAAAATTATTGCAATTTCCATTTTAAAAGATATCCCACTTCATAATCCTGCTTTTCATCAATTTCAAATAGTTTCAATTTCATAAACCTTTCATCACATTACTTTCATATAGAAAGTTTATTCTTGTAGTATATAATTTCGTTTGTACCCGAAATTATGTTATATTTATGTCCTATGTTTATGTAGTGATTATAACTTTTTTATATTATGTTTTTTGACTCATATCTCTTTAAAATTACAATATAACTTCCCTAATTACAAAGTTACTTTGTGAGTTTTCAAAATTTTCAAAAAAAATCTCAAAACCTGTCCTCCAACGTGTCTCAAACGTGCTAGTCATGTGTCCCCAACATGTCCCGAGCGCATCGGTCACGCGTCCAAAACGTGTCCTAAAAACTATTTAACGATAAAAAAATTAGACACTCATTTTAGCGCATCAACACGTACCAAGTGTGTCCGTATCCTAGACATGTCTAACACAGACAAAAATAGAGTGTTTGTGCTTCCTTAGAAAAGAGAGGAAATTTTCACCCTCGCATGCAAGCTCTCCAAGCAGTAACATGTATGCATGAAAAACAGTCACAATTTAGTTGCACCGGTTTTGCATTGAATTCAAGAATTAAACAACTCAAACAAGATGAAAACACCAGAAAAAAGAACACTTAAGTTTACTTAGAAGCCTTGATATGTATAGCACTTACCTTTTCTGGATCTTGTAAATCTTTAAAAGTTTTGTTCAATTTGATGAATGCTTGGTGGGCTTGAGGATGAGAGCATTTGTCTGGGTGCACTATAAGAGACAGCTTCCAATACCTAAGAAGGCAATGTGATTAGCAATTAAAAAAAAAAAGAACTAAAGCAGATAGCAACCTAATGTAAAGATCTACATGTCAATTAATTAAGATAACAATGTCAGATATAAGGCAACTCGGTTTTGTGCAAAGGGATTTCAAAATTTAAATCACACTGGAAGGCAGCATAAAAAAGTCCCACTGAATGGTTACAAGATGAATCCAAGTACATATTGTAGTATAATAGGAACATATAAGGTTGGTATTTCAACATCTAAACCTTCATATATGCTTAATCCGCAGACTCGTGCGTACAAATACTTGCGGAAGACTTGAATCACTCTAGCATATTCCTACTTATTTCAAAACATACTTTTTGCAGCTCTGTATTATTAAACAAACTTATAAAAGAATTAGAATGCAAATAATGGTCAAACTAGGAACCCCTTTTTCTACATTATGCACCATCCATTCTCCATTTGCAAAATAGAAGATTATCTTGAAGAAACACAAAATTTAGATATAAGATAGATTACATACATGGTGTCAAAACAGGTCCCACAAATTATGATAGGATTAAATGTTCACATCAATCTACCTCATAATACTACAAAATACCCATTAGAAATGTTTGGACGCCATATATTGACAATAACTGTGTACTATGAATCAACAAAATATAGAGGAACAGGCTTCAGTTTTTTTTTAAAGAAACATAAAAGAACCTTACCTTTTCTTTATGTTATCAGATGACATGTTTCTGTTTACTCCTAAAACATCATATGGACTATCAACCTCAACTCCCATTATTCTTGTAACCTGACCAAATAAAATAAACAAGCTCATAAGTTATTAGTCATGATAAGTAATTCAGTCAGCATAAAGTTCACAAGCTCATAACTAGGAACCTCTTCAAAACGCTCAGCTTCGTTTGCTGATTCAGCTTCTTTAACCATCGCAGGAGGTGGAGGTCCTATAAATAGTTCTGTGTCTTCTTCCAACTCAGCCTCTCTATATATATTCAATCACCAAATGTTAACATAGCAATCATATTAAGTAGAAGGTATATTTGGATAACAAAAGCACCATACACGAAGCAAATACTGATATATATCCACATCAACTGTTTTGTATAAAAAAGGGATTTGCATATATACTTTGCAACAGTGAATATAATTTGCAAATACCTTAGCTCAGCTTCCGCTTCCGTTAATTTGGCTGCTGCAGCAAGTAACTCAGCAGACGGCATTTCCGGGCCAATCATCCTGGCCAATGCAATGAATTGAGAAACATTAAACTCTAATTCTTAAATATTCAGATGATTGCATCACCAATGATAGATAGTACATGGTATGGAACTCCAAAATAGTTCAAATCAAGCACAATTTCACTTTCAGGTTCAGACTGAAATGCCAATTTGATCAATGAATATTCAGTTTCTCATAAGCAACAGCATTTTGAGTTCTAAAGAACATGCAATCTTTATTCTTCCAGAAGGGACAATGCCGGTAAGTCCATTTAACTCATTCTTCTTGGTTGTAATTGGAGAGTTATAAATGCTTTCCAAGGATATCAGAACACACATAATAGACAATGTTAATCCTCTCCGGCAAATGTAATCTCCCATCCCATATGATGTGAGTAATTTCCTCAAAAAATCCCTATGGATAGCCCCAAGGAGAGACTTGAACTAAGTAGCACCAGCTTCTTGAAGTGGGCTTATGGCTGTCTTGACTACTCTTGGGGGATAACTTTAACAGACTGACTTTCACAATGATCATATTGTAAATTTTTAATAAATCAGAACCAAACCCTTGATGTTCCAAGCAAAGTCAGGGAATGAACCATGCATAGAAATGAAAAGACAATTAATCGTACTTATGAAACATGTCAACTATGCTTAAAAGTAACTAAAAATGGTGATAGGCAGCTTATTCATGCCTTGATAAACAGAAATAATGTGGAAAGCCTCACCCTGGAGAACATGGATCAGTGTTCTCTAGAGAATGTGCACATGTGCGCGCATTCCCAAAGGGAGAGGGTGCGCCTTGATACAACAGCAAGGTTACTCCATTGTAACCTGACGTGGATTCGAATCATGGAAACAGAAACTAAAAGCATCTCTCTCTCCAAACTCCGCATTAGTAGGAGCCTCATGCACTGAACTAACCACTGAGAGAGCAAATGTTTTTTAGGGTAATCTGAGAGATCATTAATATTGCTTCAGATTAGTGGATGTATTTATCAGTGATCTCTTTATTAGATAAAAATATTACATTGGTTGAAGTAATGTAGCATCTTTACTTAATTCAACTCCAGTTTCAATGATTAACTCTTAACATATTGTCCTATTTCAGACATTTGATTGTATCTGGTTTCTATACTGAACCAACCTTGACAGCATATATGAGAAAGACTTTAATTATATGAAACAGCATAATTGATAATGGAATCAAGGACTTTAGATCACCAAATATGGAGATATTTAATTACCTCTTACTAGGAGCAGTAACATCTTCTTTTGGACCTGGTGTCGTCAAATTAGAGTCAACAGGCACTTGCCTGCAGTCCATATCTGGTGGAACTGAATGCATGTCATTTTGTGATACAGAAGAATCAAGTTGTTGCCTTTGAGGTTCTGTACTAGAATGAATGATGGGTCCAATGATCTCCAAAGTAGGACAAACTTTTGAAGGCAATAAAAAGACATTATCACCATTTTCCTTTAGCTTCAATGATAGGAACAACTTTCTCAGATGCTTAACCAAAGATCTTTCAGATAATCCACTAATATCAACAGCTTGTCCATCATCAATCATTTGGAGAAGCTAACCAAAAAACATTGGTTTCAAGAAAGAATCAGTATTGCCCCATGATATATATATAAAAAAGCTAACAGTACATAAATTTCTAAAATCACAGATTTGGATATGCATCCTCAAAAGGGCTGGTTAAGTTATACGTCTGGTTGAATATGTGCAAAATCTATGTTAAAGCTTTAGCCCACAAGTATAGTTGGCACGAGTAACTATTTCCATGCAAAAGATAAAACCTAGTAAATATTAAGCAATTTGTTACATGAATCAGCATTAACGAGAGATAACAAATAAGGAAAATAACTACGCAGAAGACATAAAATTAAGAACTGCCAAATAACATTACAAGCAACTTCTAGCTGTCAAATACCACTTCAGTAAGTGTATATATACAATTCAAAGACAGAGAACTTGTCTAAATTGTTATCCCAATGAAATGCAAGGTATGTCAAGAAAAAGCTAAATATTATCAATTGGTGTTTTTGATTGTCTAGATTCCTTACATTAATTGTTTAAGCTCACTATCTATCTGTCTTATGTTTGGTTAGCTGTTGTTATTCTTGTTTCTTGATTAGTTTAGTTTGAAGTACAACTCCATTCAACAAAACTTAGTCCGACACTTTGTAGTTGGTACAGTGATCCTTCGTCCAAGTCAACTCTTCGTGAAGCCATATATCCTTATGAATAAGTGAAAAGCATGCCCTTTCTCCCAATTTCAACCTATGTTATTTGGCCTTCTTCTGTCTAATAGCCTAGTTTCTTTAAAGTTAAAAAGATCCTTTTAAGCAAGGATTTTATAAAGTTTACAATATAAATCTTAGTTTAAATATGCTTTCCTAAGGGAAAAAGTATTGTCGAGGCAATTCAACAGCTTAATGAATAAGAATCTGCTAAAAAATTCTAGAGTCTTCCATGGTGAAACTTTATTGATTTGTTCCAGACGAGTAACTAGAAGACCGTCATCTATAATATAAAACAAGACAGACTTCAATAAGCCCATCCGATGTTCTCAAATAAACTTATCTAACGGCATCAACATCCCTCTTAAATTTTCATTGTACCTTCAGGCACGGATTATCACTAGTGAGATTGAAAGGGAAATCTTCTCCATTTCTTCCTTTTTTTTATTCTTTGTTCTNAATGATGGGTCCAATGATCTCCAAAGTAGGACAAACTTTTGAAGGCAATAAAAAGACATTATCACCATTTTCCTTTAGCTTCAATGATAGGAACAACTTTCTCAGATGCTTAACCAAAGATCTTTCAGATAATCCACTAATATCAACAGCTTGTCCATCATCAATCATTTGGAGAAGCTAACCAAAAAACATTGGTTTCAAGAAAGAATCAGTATTGCCCCATGATATATATATAAAAAAGCTAACAGTACATAAATTTCTAAAATCACAGATTTGGATATGCATCCTCAAAAGGGCTGGTTAAGTTATACGTCTGGTTGAATATGTGCAAAATCTATGTTAAAGCTTTAGCCCACAAGTATAGTTGGCACGAGTAACTATTTCCATGCAAAAGATAAAACCTAGTAAATATTAAGCAATTTGTTACATGAATCAGCATTAACGAGAGATAACAAATAAGGAAAATAACTACGCAGAAGACATAAAATTAAGAACTGCCAAATAACATTACAAGCAACTTCTAGCTGTCAAATACCACTTCAGTAAGTGTATATATACAATTCAAAGACAGAGAACTTGTCTAAATTGTTATCCCAATGAAATGCAAGGTATGTCAAGAAAAAGCTAAATATTATCAATTGGTGTTTTTGATTGTCTAGATTCCTTACATTAATTGTTTAAGCTCACTATCTATCTGTCTTATGTTTGGTTAGCTGTTGTTATTCTTGTTTCTTGATTAGTTTAGTTTGAAGTACAACTCCATTCAACAAAACTTAGTCCGACACTTTGTAGTTGGTACAGTGATCCTTCGTCCAAGTCAACTCTTCGTGAAGCCATATATCCTTATGAATAAGTGAAAAGCATGCCCTTTCTCCCAATTTCAACCTATGTTATTTGGCCTTCTTCTGTCTAATAGCCTAGTTTCTTTAAAGTTAAAAAGATCCTTTTAAGCAAGGATTTTATAAAGTTTACAATATAAATCTTAGTTTAAATATGCTTTCCTAAGGGAAAAAGTATTGTCGAGGCAATTCAACAGCTTAATGAATAAGAATCTGCTAAAAAATTCTAGAGTCTTCCATGGTGAAACTTTATTGATTTGTTCCAGACGAGTAACTAGAAGACCGTCATCTATAATATAAAACAAGACAGACTTCAATAAGCCCATCCGATGTTCTCAAATAAACTTATCTAACGGCATCAACATCCCTCTTAAATTTTCATTGTACCTTCAGGCACGGATTATCACTAGTGAGATTGAAAGGGAAATCTTCTCCATTTCTTCCTTTTTTTTATTCTTTGTTCTAGTTCATCATTCATCTTCATCTAATAAGTAATTGCAATAGTAGTAATGTTATTTACCAACAATCAAGACCTCATTAATTCTACTTTTATACCATAACCTTTAATCACCAGCCTTATCCTATCATACTTTCATTGAGAAATTCCGATAAGCGTTTTCCTCGTATATCTATATCAACATTAACCTTAAATCCAAGCACTTTAACCCTGTTCAATCCAAAAGCCCTATCATGTCTTCTCAAGCATAAAATGGAAATCTATGATCCGACACCCCCCTTCTCTATTCAAGCATAAGTGACCCTATTTGTCTACTCCGGTCTTCGTGTGACAACATGCAGATATATATACAAGATGCAAACTCAATGACGTTTATCATTTCCAATGACCACAGCATTCTGCATATAGCATAATTGTAAAGGCTCACTTTTATTAAGCCTCCAGTTTTTTGGAAGCATCATAATCTGAAGTCATATACTCTACAAAACCTTAAAATCTTAAGCACTTACACAGACCTCGCATCATTACTTTGTGCAATATGACAAAACGCAAGATCTGTACCAAGTCCACCTCTTCCAACAAGATGGAGAGAAACCAATCGGGGCAATAATCATTGTTGACCGTCCAATCTATTTGGAGACCCGGTATCTAAGAAGTTGACTATTCTACCAAATTTTTAATGTAAGTCACAATTTTTTGCATAATCTCTCATAACGCAAAAATAAAGCAAATTATCCAAAAAAAAAAGTAGATTTCTAAAAATGTACCTGTTCCAAATCACCGAAAACACCAGGGAACTCCTTCAATATATATCTTGTCACAGCCCCCGGATCCTCTCGCTCTCTCTGGGGCCCCGAATTGTCACCATCCGAATACTTGGACTCAGTCTCCGATCCCGATCGTGATTCCAAAACCTTCTTCTTCCCTTCCCGCTTCAATCTTCGTTTTCTCTTTCTCTCTTCATCCTTTATCCCTCTCCTCCTATCTCTTCTTTTAACTTTCTCTCTCCTCGAACTTCTATCACTGCTGCTACGGTGTCGCCTGTGACTTCGTTTGTGTCGTTTTGAAGAGGCCTCAACGTCGTCAGAGTATGATGAATCTGAAGAAGAAGAAGAAGAAGTTGGATGGTCCAATTGTCTTTTGCTTTTCTTGGATTTACTCAAACGGTCTCCTCCCATGGATTTTGATTATGATTACAGAGCCTTTCTGCGGAAGAAATTGAAATCCTTGATCAAATCAATTCCACCACAGTAGCTTAGAATCCCTAATGGTGAATTTCATGTTTGAATTGTTATCACTCCTGGGTTCTTGCCCAAACTGTATCAGGAGAACAATGTGCAGAACGTTGCATACAAACGAAAAGCGTAAACTGCACCATTTATCCAACACACCCTCAAGTCACAACAGAATAGAAAACCCACGCAGAAGCACACCAGATACTGTGTTTCTACCTCCAATTCACTCGCTTTGGGCATAAAATACACCAAACCCATCAACTCTCTCTCTCTCTCTCTCTCTCTGCATAAATCACAGAATCACGTGTACACAACACAACACAACACAACACAAATACCCATACACTCCATTTCTAACTCTCTCTCTCTCTCTCTCTCTCTCTCTCTCTCTCTTTACGCACACACCACATAGAAAAATAACCATTCAAACCAATTCCATGAGAACCAACAAGACCCAATTCAACCAACCACAATCAAAAATTCAAAACTCACAATTCAAAATCTAATCAAAAATCAAAATCAAAATCAAATTCGAAATCAAAATTTGACATCAAAATTATACCAACAATCAGAATCAAAATTAACATTAAAATTAAATCTGACTTACTAGAGCTGGGTAGTGTGATCAGCGCAAAAATTGGAGTTGGAGTAGTGGAGACCTACTCATTGTGGAGACTGGAGTCTGCTTGGTGGAGATGGAAGCTGGAGGCAGCATGGGAGCGGGTCATGGTGCCGCGCCGTTCAAGAGAGAGAGCAAGAGAGTCGTACAAACAAGATGAAGGGGTGGGGTGGGGGTGGGGTGGAGG